ATGTAAGTACGGGTCAAGAGGTGCGGAAGCTAGAGGGACACACTGATTTTGTGAACGCGGTGGCCTTCTCGTCCGACGGCTCACTGCTGGCCTCTACATCAAACGATCGGACCGTCAGACTATGGGACGTGAGTATGGGTCAAGAGGTGCGGAAGCTAGAGGGACACACCGATTTTGTGAACGCGGTGGCCTTCTTCCCCGACGGCTCACTGCTGGCCTCTACATCAGACGATCGGACCGTCAGGCTGTGGGACGTGAGCACGGGTCAAGAGGTGCGGAAGCTAGAGGGACACACTAGTTTTATAAACGCAGTGGCCTTCTCGTCCGACGGCTCACTGCTGGCCTCTGCATCAGACGATCGGACCGTCAGACTATGGGACGTGAGCACGGGTCAAGAGGTGCGGAAGCTGAAGGGACACACCAGTTTTGTGAACGCGGTGGCCTTCTCGCCCGACGGCTCGCTGCTGGCCTCTGCATTAGACGATCAGACCGTCAGGCTGTGGGACGCGAGCACGGGTCAAGAACTCCATAAATTTCAGGATATATCGTCTATCACGACCATCAAATTTACAATCGGCAATAAGACTTTGCTCACTAATCGAGGAGCTCTATCTATCGACGACCGATTACTTCCTGATAAGACTATCAGGCCTTCAACCGATGAAACTATCATGATCAAAAATGAGTGGATTCAACGAGGTGCATGCAATCTCCTCTGGCTTCCCCAGGAGTATCGCAGTGTTTATTCAGCGCTCTACGGCAATACGATTGCCATTGGCCTGAATTCTGGCCAAGTCAGATTTATCCAGCTTAATATTTAATCCTTAAATGTCTGTGAATTAATTAATATAGTATAGTATTATTTATTATTACCTTGTGTGAGGGTTTTCAATAGGAGTTTATTCAACCACTATAGTACCTATTTAACAAGGATCTTAAGCTAAGGAAAGAGAGAAAGAATCTACCTACTGTACGAGTAAAGGAAATACTCTCTCCTCTCCCCTATAGTGGATCGTACGGTTACTGGAGAGATAATCGATAGAGGAAAGTCACGTGAGTGTGTTGCTCGCTCTGGGGAGTACCCCCAGAGCATCATACGGGTTCAACCCGTGACACCTTGACCTCCAAGGGGTTTAGGGAAATGCATCATCATATATCCATGGCCTAGATTCTAGAAGCTTCTTTGCTACAAAGTGTTAGAGGCAAGGCACGAATTATTGCTGCACTAAATAATCTCTCACACTATCCTCTTTAGGCCAAGGGGTGTTCGTAACGTGCCGTATGTCGAGAAAGAGGGGTAGAAAATACCTTCTATCGATTGGTGACACTGATAAGCCACGCTTGTCTCTATCTAGCCTAAGCCAGGCAACAGTGGGACCAAAAGTGGTCCTTAATTATTTGGAGTGTGTGTCCGCGCGAAGGAGCAATTGAAAACGCCTGTACTGTACAGCATGAAACTTGACTGCGTGGTTGGGCTTGTTATTCTCCTACAACCCCATGACCCTGAGGGCCTAATCTATGGAGCACAGTCAATGCTTTCTTTACTTCTTTATCTGAGCGCCCTAATTTACGCGTGAGCCGCCTGAGTTTGGAGGACAGGTGTATGTTTTCTCGTTTTAATATATTTCCTTGCATTTGGGCAACAGCCAGGTCTTCTTCCCGCTGCTTACATTTCTCTTCAGCTTGCTGCCGTGCCTCGATTTCAGCACGGATCTTATCCTCACTGAGAGAGAGTGCCTCAGCTAGCCTCACGTTATCTGACCGGAGATGGTCTAATTGTAAAACGTCGCCGACTCCTGAAGTAGATAGTTTTGATTCCTGGTAAAGTTGTCAGTTTCAATAGTATAAGAGGATCAATGTTCTCCGTCGCATACCTCAATCGTCGGTTCTATCCATGCTACAGCTTCAATAGAAATATTGATTTCCCGACAGAGCTCCATATACGCGCCGATAGAATGTTTACTTAACTGTTTCATAAAAAGATGTTCCCTCTCCGGCTGTCGCACCCATCTGTATCCATCCTGGAGGTCTGGCACAAGGCGGACTTGGTTTGGTTCGATGCTTATGCCGAGTTTAGCCCCTGCACTTTAGGTCAACAGGGCGTCCGTGTTCGGCAAAAACAAAGTTCTTACGCAGGTGATCTGCTAAGACCTGCCGACACTTGCGGCGCCACTCGGCACGCTGGACGTTTCCCGGTCTAGGGGTTGGTCGATCCTCCATGTTTCTAAGGCAATGTTCCGTTCTATGGTCTAGTAGTATTTATTAGTTGTGGCAATTTTGTTCTTAGCCGTTCTCAGCGGCTCTTCATTTATTGTATAGGTAACTTGAAGAGAAAACTAAATCTATATGACATGGACTGTAGCATCTATTAATAACTGCTAGAACTCGTGGGTGATCCAGTTCTGGACTCTGGTCATCATGAGATGAAAATAGTATTCCCTCGCTAAAGAGGGGGGTGGGACCGTTCCTGGGACCTCATCGCTTTTTTGCTCCGATCGAAGTTGGAGAAAATGTACCAATCCATACGAGAGGCTATGTGTTTGAACTCGTCGAAGATTCTAGCAAAATTCATATGGAATATTTACTATTGTCGTCAATCGTCCAAGCCAAGCACTGTCGTTGTCCCGTTAATGTAGAGACCCTCGTCGTAGTACCAAAACAGTATACCTCTAAGAGGCGACGGGGTGCCCACGGCCTAATGTTCCACCTATAAAAGTTTGCCCTAAGAAACATAACTTGATGAACGGAAGGGCCATGCTTGATGTGCCTAATCATCGTGTAGCAATCAATGACTGCCAGCGAGAACGACAAGCTAGGAGGACCTTAAGTAAACACTGATCATCAATCATGGTTCGACAATCACAAAACCAAACCGTCTATGATCGCTGGGTGTTGACCGCGCTTGATAAGTTCTACCAGGTTAGCTTGAAGGGTTTACTAAGCAATAGGAACAGGATCTTGGGGCCACCGACCGAACAAAGAGGTGCCCTTAAGGACCGCTAATAGTTGCGAAATCGGTGTGAAGCCCCTATGGATTTGCTTCCCCTATGGCTTTGCTTCCCCTATGGCTTTGCTTCCCCTATGGCTTTGCTTCCCCTATGG